ATGGCTAAAAGCTGGCAGCTGCAAATCCTCCTGAGCAGGGTTCAGTGTTGGACGGGCTAAGGACTCCAGATATGTTCAATTGGGCTGAAATTTGGGTATGTTATAGCACACACCCATTGGAACAACTTTCATGAAGATCTTCACCTCATCCGAGCCCCAGAGCATGCTGATCTAAGGCCAAGAAGTTGACCTACGAAACTGGGCTGGCAAGGGTTTGTAGCCAAAATTAGTTTGTCTTTAAGCTCTTCTTCCATTCACCCAAATCAGGCCTTAACATGCATGGATTGCATCATTTCCTATCCAAAGCCATCATTGTTACCTAAAGCTCAATGAACTGAAAGATAAACACAAAAATGATTAAAAGCACAGGTTTAACTAAAAAACATAACCAAATCATAAGCTAGAATGGTACAAAATGATATACAATTATGAACCGATCAATAACAGGCTGTCAAACATATACAGTTAACAGGTCATATACAATAGTAAACACATTTCCTCATGAAACCAACATACTATTGAAATCAATTATTAACTACACACCTGTTTGCTTTGAAATATATAAGCGTTCAGCTTTCTAAACTCGGGCACTTTCTCTGTGGATTCCCACCGGCAAATTCGAGGGATTAATGCAGTTTCCTCGATCCGCCTACAATCTCTAAGGGGGGGAATTCCCAATTCAGCAATTAATTCATACGCCCAAATCTACAACAAATAGATTATCAAAGTCAGTACTTAGTCACGAACTTAAATTTTACAAACACTAATTTTGAACTAAATCATACCTAGAAAGCATAGCTCAATCCCTTTATATTCCATGCAGGTCTGTTAATTCTTTTAGGCTTCTCATCCTCCACGTTTTTCTTCCCTTTTCTCACTGAACTCCGCACCGCCTTTTTTCCCTTTTTCTCCCCTTTCCCCTGCCCATCCTTGTCTTCATCTCTCTCTTTCTTCCCGGGAACAAACAACAGAGAATCTTGCAGACACTCAAACGATATAGATCCCCACGGATATTTGTTGAATTCATCCATTTTATGAACCAAATGTAAGTAGTCCTCATTTATCTTTACATTTTGGGGTCTACCCATAATCACAGACTCCACAAAATACAGCAGTCCCAATTTGAACGAGTCCTCGCTTCCT